TCAGTTCAATGGTATGGTTAGGTCTGGTCTCTCATCTTCATTTTAATTATGGGAATCTAAAAAAATCTTGTTGGACAGCTATCCCAGTGATCATCCTGTCCTAAATATGTCACTTTGGAAGCAATGGCTCCAACTGCGGTCCATGCCTTGTTATTCTCCCCTAAACGCTTGAATGACCTATGTCAAGGGAGTTTAATATCATGGTATCAGGATAAGTCAAGTCAGGTGCTTTTCTAGTTATTCTTTTAAACACACGTTATAGCATATTGATGCAAACTATCATGTAATCTAAATTTGTGAGAAACATCACTTAGCTTTTTACAATTTGCAAGGCATAACTAAGACAAAGGAAACAAAACACTTCAAATTAGGGATGGGTCCAGCAACAACGATGCGCTGGTGCATGTGTCGAGCTCTTACAGTAAAACCCTGTGTCGGTGAGCGTATCGTTTGAAGAAAATCATGTGACTGATACAGGAGCTGTTTTGAATTGACTGACGCACTAAAGCTGTGTTTATAACATCTGTCTACGCATCGCATGTGCCCAAAAAAATCTCTGATCTTTTGTGGTTTATCATCAAAGTCATCAAGAAATATGGAGAAGCCTCAAGGCAAAAGAAAGGTTTCAGCGATGTGGCTCTAATAATTATATAGGTCATCAAATCAGTTTCAGTTTTGCCTGTCAAAGAGGCTGCCTCTATTGATTTTTAATGTCCAACAGCCGTCAGTATTCAGTGACACAGTATCGAAACATTATCAATACAGTTTTGCCAATGTGTCTAAACGCTTCATGATGCCTCACGAACCCATCACTACTTCAAATATAATCACTGGAAAATGAATCGTGTTTAAGATACTGTTTGAATTGAAAAACTGAACTATTTCTTGAGAACACTGTAATATGCTGGAATGTACCTGTGTATATACACTGCTCAAAAAAATAAAGCAAGCATGTAAAAAACACAATATAACTAAACCTATGTTTTTATTGCCAGTGGTAAAAAAATAACAAAGTACATTTACTTGATTACTGTGCCTAAGTACTTTTTATGAGTATGTTCACCTTACTTGAGTATTTTTTGGGGGATATTTCACTCCTCTATATTTCAAAGTCAGATAAACTTTCTACTCCACTCCAATTCTGGTAGTTACTTGTTATATTGGCTAAGCTTAGCTTGGTAAATGCTGTTGCTGTTTTTCTTTCTTGAAATGCTATTTCATTATGCAAGAAAGCAGCCCTTAGGACTGAATTTGGACACAACTGTTTTAGAGATTGGCATGAAATCCCACAAATGTGAGAAACTCAGGGCCGATATTATTTGTAGTTTATACACTTTATTAAGGCATTAGTCATTGCTGTTTGGCCATATTGTTCAGTAGGATGAGTTCTTAGATCAGAGCTGTAGTTTCTCTGTGCTATTAGACTCAACCTTAAACCTCTAAAGTGAAAGTGTGAGGAGAATAAAGACACTTGTTTATTCTTAGGTTTGTTTTAAAATAAGACATATTACTCAAAAAAGCTGTCCTTATTTTTTTGTGGCTTTTTTATTCTAAAGTCTTTTCCAGGTAGTTTATCATTTGTAGCAGTGGTTCTACACATTAATACATCAGATGGTTTCTGAAAGTTACAAGGTTCTTTAACCCTTTATAGAGCAAGTTACCGTTTTCGATCACTTGCATACCCATTACAAATGGAGTCCCCCTGTCACTCAGTGAGGTCTAGAAGCATAAGATCTATATCCAGCCATTCAGCAAAGATCCTGCTACATGGCTGTACATCTTAAATTGCTATTTGACCAATTAGATGAGCCCTTGAATGATATATTACCTACTGTTGACTAGTTAACCTTTTTTTCACTGAAAAAAAAAGTTTAACTGGTCAAGAAAAAAGGTAAAAAGCTCATTGAAAAGTTAAAAAAGTTAATTAAAAAAGTTAATAAGCCTAGTTATGTCAATGTTGACATTCATTTTCGCCATCAAAATATCCATATTTTTTGAATGTTGCAAAGGTAATAAGGTCTTGTCCTGGATTCTAATAACACCATGTGCTTGAAATTTTGATTTTCAAAGTATTTCATTGAGTGGAATATAAAGGTTAAAATTACTCTGAAAATTATACAGGAATGTACCGTAATCAAAAAAATTTATTTGTACTTAAGTACATGCTTAAGTATTTTCAAAAGTGAATACTTAGATACTTTAAATTGAGTAGATATTTGACCTAGTAACTATTACTTGTGGTGAAGTAAGATTTGACTATGAGTCAAATCTATATAAAAAAAAAAAGATTTCACTATGAGTTCTATTACTTAAACTCAAATACTACTGTGGAGTGTTTCGCTGTTTCTGGCTTATGTTTTGGTCACTTTTGAATCTTGGTAGCATGAGACAGAGTCTACAACCCACACAAGTGGCTCATGTAGTGCAGCTCATCCAGGATGGCACATCAATGTGAGTTGTGGCAATAAGGTTTGCAGTGTCTGTCAGCAGAGTGTCCAGAGGCTGAAGGCACTAGAAGGGGATAGGCAAGACACCAGGAGACATGGAGGTGGATTTAGGAAGGCAAAGACCCAGCAGCAAGACCTCTACCATTGCCTTTGTGCAAAGAGGAACAGGAGGAACACTGCCAGAGCCCTGTAAAATGACACCCAGCAGGCTACAAATATGCATGTCTGCACAAACAGTTAGAAATGACATGAGGATGGTGCGAGGGCCCGACATCCACAGATGGGGTTTGTACTCACAGCCCAACACCGTGCAGGACATCTGGTATTTTCCAGAGAACAGCAAGATTGGCAAATTTGCCACTGGCACCCTGTACTCATCACAGATGAAAGCAAGTTCACACTGAGCACATGTGATAGATGTGACAGAGTCCGGAGACACAGTGGACAGCAATCTGCTGCCTGCAATATCCTTCAGCATGACCGGTTTAGCAGTGGGTCTGTAATGGTGTGGGGTGGCATTTCTTTGGAGAAACACACAGCCCTCCATGTGCTTTCCAAAGGTAGCATGACTGCCATTAGGTAGCAAGATGAGATACTTGGACCCCTTTTGAGATCATATGCTGGTGTGGTTGGTCATAGGTTCCTCCTAATGCAGAACAATGCTAGACCTCATTTGGCTGGAGTGTGTCAGCAGGCATTGAAGCTATGGTCTGGCTCGCCTGTTTCCTAGACCTGAATCTGATTGAGCACGTCTGGGGCCATCCACCAATGTCACATTGCACCACTGTCCAGGAGTTGGCGGATACTCTAGTCCAGGTTTGAGAGATTTCTTAGGAGACCATCCGCCACCTCATCAGGAGCATGCCCAGGCATTATGAGGTGGTCATACAGGCACCCGGAGGCCAGACACAATACTGAGCTTCATTTTGACCCATTCTGAGGTCATTGCATCAAAGTAGGATCAGCCTATAGTGCGTTTTTCCGCTTTAATTTTCTGTGCGACTCAACATAAGATCTCCATTGCTTAACAAATTTGATTTCGTTGTCAGCACATTCAGCTTTGTACATAAAGTACTCAATGAGAATATTTTATTAATTTAAATCTAAGATGCATTGAGTAGTTTTTTTTTTTTTTTGAGCAGTGTATATTTCACGCTTTTTCTAAAAATGTTGGCTTCCATACCTTTTCTTGAGGTTGTTCTGTAGATTCAGTCAAACACAAACATAGCAGGCAGACTCGGTTGGGCTCGATTGAACCTCAGCATATCTAACATTAAAAATGCAGACCAAATGATCAGGGCTCCAACCTCTATAATGACAAAAGCCCATTTTTATTTACCGCCCTTAGAGATTTAGAATCTGCAGACAGAGACACTGAAATGTTTCCACAGTACAAGGAAGAAAAAAAAGAGATTTTAACCTGAATTAAATTAATTTCTCACCTCTCAAAATTCAAAGAAATTAATTGATTGAAAAAAGTAATTTTCTCTGATCTCTTTACTTTGTCCTTTACTGTTCCCATTTGCATTGATGGCTGGCATCTCTTATTATTAAAACCTAATCTCTGGTAAGGGGTTTAAGTCCCAAATGACTGATCTCACAGCTTCCTCCGAATATGCAATCACTGGACCTAGAAGAAGTATCCCTAGAAGTTTTTAAATAATGACAATATATCTAACTAAACAGAACTAAACTTGTTAATTTATCCAAGTAAAAAAGACAAATATTTCATAAGATTTTCTATAAACATACACAAAACTTCATGAGTCGATATTATTAATATCTCTACTTCTAATTTTTGTTGACACCTTTTGTATTATTGGCAGTTAGAATATCTAAATTATTATTGCACTCACAGGCTTGGAGGCATCTTAGATTAGGAGTAAACATTTCCAAATATAAATAAATCCCAACCCCTTGCCAGACACACTGCTTAGAAAACAATTTGATCACCAAGAAGGGTTGAGAATAACTGAATCTTCATCATGGTAAACTGCATGTAAATCTGTTTCCAGAACAAATAGCTCACAGATAACTGATGCTAACCCTTAATGGACCAAGCATCTTGTAACCTGCTTTTCTTGTAATTATCAGACATACATTTGTTGAAAAACAAAGATATTTTAAGACAATCCCCGGTGATGATAAAAAACCCTGAATAACTCCTCAAATAATTTTTCAATACAACATGGCATAGGATAAGAAATGGTCTGAATAAGCTTTGTGCAAAATGCTTATGAGAACACAGCTCCCAACAGCGTTGACAGTGTTTACAGGAGTGACAGTGCTGACAGAAACCCACTAAAATGATTTCTTTGATGCTGTGAGCAGCTGAAGCCAACAGCAGGATGACAAATGAAAGTAGTTAGAACATGCAATTAGTTTCTTCAGTATCTAATTGATGTCAGTTTTAGCAATATTCTCCAACACTTTTAAAAAAGTGTTTAACATCTTTTGACAATCAATAATCATATCCTGATATATAATTCCTCATTCCCTACACTGTTTGTATTATCAAGATGCTTTATGACAGAGATAGAGTTGAAGATTGGATTGCTTTAAGTGGTTTTAATCACCTTTTTTCTAAGTTTGACATTCAGAGGCAAACAAGACTAAACGAGTAAACTGAATGTTTAAAAGGAGGCATGGAACACAAAATAAAGAGAAACTTTCATGCAGTTAAAAAAAAAACTGAGAACATTTTAAGACTTGCTTTTCTCACATAAACATACTTTAAACGCAGTTTGAAACATTCAACAGGAAAAGACACTGAACTGTATAGAAGAGTGGCACAGAGGGTAACAGGGAAAAGAACAAATTGCACAAATTAAATTTCTTTAAAACCAAAACCCCTGACATAAAAAATGCTACAAAACGCTTTCTTTTTTGAGGGTCAACATCTGAGCCTGTTAAACAACAACATCATCCTATTAGTCTTTTTAATTGTTATTATGATTTTTCATAATAACAATTAAACACCAGTCACAGCCCAGTCCAATCAGAAACCAGGTGAAGGTGCGTCTAATTATCAGGCAGCCGTTTCGATGATGGCGACCAAGATCAGCAAGCCAATTTCTGGATGTTACTGATCAGTCTCCTGCTGTATTCTCTGTGGTCGACAGGAAGCACCTCCATCACGGTGACTTTCACCCGACTCTCATCCTGAGGACCAAAGAAAAGGCTCAGATTAAGACTGAACTAATGCACAGAGGCATCAATCAACAATGATGGCTCTATGAATCAAACAATTAAAAACAAATCTTTGTAACATTTTTATTAAAATCAATTTATCAATATAGTACAAATACACAATATTTTCAAAGGAAAGCTGGCAGGATAAAAGTAACCCTGGACACAATCTGAAGTTGGCAGACTATAACTACTGTTGCTTGGGGATCAGACATGAACAGTTTTAACATATTAAATTAAACGGGTTTGAGTGAAAACTCAATGATAAAAATGTTTTATTTTATAAGAGTAAAAAAATTCTCCAGCTAATCACAACACACATAAGAGACATCCAGCTGGGCAGATTTAGCAGCCAGTCGTATTTCAGTGCTCTTTGCAAACACACAGATCTGCATGACTAATAGATATGTTTCATGTTATGTTTATTTGCATTTCTTGGTTCCTTTTTTAGGTCTGAAACATGTTATAGAAACCATAAAAATTCCCAATAAATATGCAAAGACAGGACCACCTGTTCATCAAAGCCATTACTTTGGCAAATACAACATACAAGTAATTAAATGAGAATAACTAGCTGATACGACTAACATCCCTCCATAAGAAGCATGCTAAATAAAATCTTTGAGAGGACACCAGGTTTGGCAAAAAATTAAAATTTATATCATAGCTAATAAAAACAAAACAAACAAAAACATCAAAAATGTCTACGGGTAGTGATTCATTAATTGAAACACTACACCTTTTTTAAACTATTTCTCCTTTTATGTCTGACCTGACGTAAATCATTTACCAAAGTCTGTTAGAAAGTGATCAACTGCCCTTTGCTAAACGCAACAAGTTGAATGCCTCATCAACCACAGCTCCTTCTAAAATAAAAGTCACATAGAATATTTCTAAAACAAACAAAAAAGTGAGAGAAAAAAAAACTCACCACACGTATCTAAACCAAATGCAGAGAGTATAATTTCTACAATGGTTTAAAATAAAAAACTTTTTTTTTTTTATTCTACAGAATTAAATTATCCTTTTATAATAATTGGTAAAAGTTGTTACCCGGGTGAACTGCAGGTTTGTACCTTTTACCCCAGCCACACCTCTCACTTAGCTGCCTTATCTAAAACCAGTTTGTTGTGGGGAAGCATGCTTAAAACCCAAGGCTGTGTCAAGTGGGGGGCAATCTTTGTTAAGCTTCTCACAGCATCAACAGGTAAAATACCTTAGCAGATATAGATATCCTCCACAGGCAGACATAGAGATCCTCCATAAGCAGTAGGGGTGTAAATCACATCCATCATGGCGATTCGATTCAGTATCGATTTCCTGACCCAACGATTCGATTATTTTCGATACTCAAGACTACACCACGATTCGATTCGATTAATCGATTACATTTTTTTTTATTATTATATATTTTTTTTTACACCTTACAGGCTAAACAAAGTTTCAAGTTTTGAAATAAATCAATGAAAGCTGTAATATCATTATGCATTTTCTTTAGAAACAACAGCAAATAACAGAAGTAGAAAAGTTGCATCAAAAAATACTGCAAAAATACTGCACAATATCAGTGTAATGAGTTCAATGCAATACCTCGGCTCCAGAGAAACTGTCCAATATATTTTTTTAGAATGTAATAAATATACTCAGGAAAGAGAGATGTTGCGTAGAGAGTTAGAGAGGAATAAAAATAAACTAGATATAAGGGAATTGTTTCAAAGGTAATCTGGGGATGTAGTTTTTGGGAGTATTTTTTATTTTCTAAGAAGAACGGGTATTTTAGGGAGAATATAATAGTTTGTCTGGTCCATACTCCATTCTGGAAGGTGGCGGTAATGCACCTATAAGTGGTTTGCCAAATGCCATTAAAAAAAAGAAGAAGAAGAAGGCTCCAGAGTGTCAACATCACCGCCCCCTTGAGACACCTCTCCCAGATTGTAGCTGACCGCAAACAGTGCAGCAGGCAGGAGGCCGGCTTGTTTTGTTTTCATGACCGAAATTGCTCGTGAAGTTTGACCCGCTAGAAGAGCGAGGTGCGCGAGAAGGCTGGGACCCTTTTTCCAGCTGAATCTCCGCTCTTTTTAGCCCTCATGTCCCTCCGTCGTCGGACTAAACTCGTCCCCACTTCCTCACCGCCTCGGCCGTATCTAGACCCACAGTGTGTAGCTCAGACCACGCTTCAATACTGAGCATAATTTAAAAATGTCTGTGTGAAGCTTGCTGCAACACACTGCTGTAAGAGTATAACCAGGAAGCGCAGTAGGAGGGCAAAATAGGTTTAGCGGCACCGCAGCACGGGAGGGAGAATTACGCCCAGGAGTGAATGGATAAAAATAGACCGGAGGAAATAAAAAACATGAATCGATTATCTTGCGGACGTGTCGATGCATCGGATCGTCGGCTTTTGGATCGATGCATCGATACAAAATGATTATTATTTACACCCCTAATAGGCAGACATAGATATCCTACATAAGCTTAACAAAACATAGAGTAATATAAACAGTCCTCTTTTTAAAACCAAGACAAAGGAACTTGGAGAAGGAGAAACATTTTTAAATAAATATAAAATCCAGGTATATGCAGTAATGTCGCAATGATCAGTTTGTACATTTAAAATGGAATAGAGACCTTTGATTATTTCTCAGCTGAAATAAAACACAGATAATTTGAAAGTGACCTGACTTCTGTCTAAGGTGGCATTTAACTTGTGAACTGTGAACACCTTTTAGATGACTACAATTTGTTGGGGGAATAGAGCGTAAAAGGTGACATTTTCCATCTCTTAAAGGAAGAAAAATTTAGGATGTCCACAGGGGGAAAAAAGAAATGTTCCGATTTGACTTTTTTCAAACATTTTCAAGATAAAAGGTACAGACAGTGTATGCTGAGATGAAAAGTGCAGTAAAAAGACTAGCCTGCCATTTATCCTCTGGAGGTTTTTCTAAAGCCCACAATCAGAGATTGTATCTCATGTTTTCTCCTTGTTTTTCCCTCAGCAAAGGCAGCTGAATTACACTTTCTAATTAAAAGGCTTTCCTGTGAAGACATGACAAAACTAACTATTCTTATTATAGTCACTATAACAGGGCTTAAAAATAAAGCAATTCAAAACCTCATGAAAACAAATTCATTAGCAGTTAAGCAAGGATACTGTGTATGAATGATGTGTTTAATATCTATTAGACTTCTGTTGGAATTTTCAATTATATCAAGTTACAAAATAGATAAACATCAAATATCCTCATCATAAGACTAAATTTTATCAAAGAAGATTTTTTTTTATTTAAAAAAAAAAAGGGGTTATGTGATGGGTATGATGTTCTGTGACTAATATTTTACTGACTTAGATAGATGTTTTTGCCTTTGCCGCAAAAGGTTTTTTTAACTATTCAGACAACAAAAACACAATAATGAGACGCAGCCAATCTAATCAGACAAATCCTATAATCTTAAGGAGCAATATCAAGCTTAGTACTGTGCTAAATGGTGTAATTACACAGCCGAAAAATTCAGAAAAACTGGCTTAAAAAAGCAGAGATAACTCACTGGAAAGAATACATCACTAAAATATGCAATGAATAGCTGCAATGAATAGGTCCTATTGACCATACTGGAGTTTAAACAGTTTCATTAAAATTGTTGAAAAGCAGCTACCTTAGGGAAAATGGTATGAACCTGAACCTACCTGACCTACAAACTGTCCTCAAATTAACCCTAAATTTGTTGTTCTGAGGGAAATATCTCTTATTTCTCTTTAGGAAATGCCAAAACTCTTGTGTCTATCCAAATTAAGAAATATGTCAATAAAACACAGCCTACTGTTTCATTGTTGATTTGTTTGACCAGCCTGTCATAAGTGCTCAATGTCAGCCACATGTAAAAGAATGAAGTATTTGAGATGCATGGTAATATTTTCTTTGGATATTTCACATTGATTATGTAAATTACATTGAATTTTCCAAACAATCTTTACTACACTGTGAACCAGCAGAAATGGCTAAATTTGATGTTGACAAGCTGAACTAAGAGTCTGGTTTTGCTGATGATGCGAGGCGACAACATTAAGTCTGTGCTTGGCTGTTATAAGACAGGAAGAAAAATCTGTCCCTTCTGACAATTATGGATTTAGACACAGTCTTGAGTGCAGAAATATGGCTCACATATTGGGACTATGCAACCAACAACAAACTTTTATAAACAATTACAAATAAATGACTTGAAACTAAAATGACCATACTATTATGAAAAGCATTTTCACCCCAAAATTAATCTGAAAAGTAAGAAAATATACCAGGCAGAAGATTTTTTGATGCCCCAATTAAGGTATCCCGAACAAGAATAAAAGCATCTAACATGTTTTAGTGCATTTTATTTCTTGCCATGACAGATTGTAGAAACTTAAAACCGTTTTCTCTATGGTAAAAGTAAAACATAGCAGACAATTTATCCTTAATGATGCTTCATGAGAAAGGGAGAACATTCCATTCTATACCAGAAATGTTGTATGTTGTCTTTTTTTTCTTTTACAGTTTATTTAAAATCAATGCAATTACAGACAGTTCTAAAGTAAAGAAATGTTAAAGATGGCTGAACATCAGATGAGCGATGGTAACTGACTTTAGGAGGAGGAAGTCATTACCTGTTGGTCTCAGGTTGAAGACAGAGGTGAGTGGGACGTAACTAAAGAAACCGTCATCCATCATGGTCAATCTGAACCATCACCTTCAAAGCCCAATGGATAGCCAGCAGCGCACCTTTTCAAATAGGCTATATGTGGCAGGAAATCCTTTCTGTCATTTACCATCACCTTCACATTAACTCTCAGACTTAGACTCATTTAACATTTATCCCATCGGATTAGTCCTTCAGGGAAATTCTGGTTGCAGTAGCTTATATAGAGTACAAAGAGTTAAAGCAAGATGCCATTAAAGATAAAAATAAAACAGACAATATAAAAAAAGTGTATATAGTAC